CCCTGTCTCTATCTCTAAGGGCCACCACTCATTATGAGATAGATATTTGATGTCCTTCCTACAACTTTAAAAAATATAGATTAACAGATAAAATAGTATTTATGTGCCAGGCACAACACAATGTTTTGAAATACTCACACATTGTGAAAGAGAAATAACTAATAGCTAATTAACCTAATACCTTACCTGGTCCCTTCTATACCTTATTGGTCTATTTTATGGTACAGGAAAGGGGGGAGTTGAGGTAGTCCCAGCCAATGTCTGTAGTAGAGGACCCCAGAACTACTTCCCAACTCATGTCTCCATGCAGAAAATTGACCCCCGCCCCCACCTGGAATTCCTTTTTCCGTGCACCAACAGCAGGAAAGGGACCAGAATGGGGCCAGGAAGAGGTGGCTTAATAAAAAATCCCAATAAAGCTTTGCAGCCCCTGGTGGCCAGGGGCAGAGCCTGGGCATAAGCCTTCCATAGACCCTCCCACCAGGGGGCCCTAACTAATATTCCTGGAGCCTTTGCCTGCCCTGGGCTTCATTACCCATTCAGAAGGGGACGAGAGGTCCAACAGGGCTCCCCAATGCTGCCTGACAATATTGCCAAGCCGCCTACCCTAGCCCCACCCCAGCATACACCCTCCCACTCCAGACCCTCTGATGAGGAATGGGATCCATGCAATCAGCCATTTGCCTATGGGACCAACGGGGTCATCTTATTGTGGTCAGATGCCAGCTCCAGGGAGTCAGGCAACCCTGGTGTGGAATTTGGAGCAAAGACTTATTAAGGAGCCACAGAGAGGCACGGGGTTCTTGTCCCCTCCCCCAGAACAGAGAGAACAAGATTGAAGAACAGGAACAGAACAAGATTGGTTCCAAGTAGCGAAGGTTTAGGTAGATGGGACAGACTTCCAGGCTGAGCCCAGCTAGAGGCGCTTGCTGACAGAGTCTCTCCTCCTCTGGCAATTCAGAACTGGCCAGCCTCCTTGGGGGCGCTAGGTGGGGCCAGCTCTTGCCTTGTTCCCTCTCTCTACCCTCTCATAGAAAACACAATGCTTTTAAGGAGTTCAGGCTGAGCAAAGCTAAGTCTGGCTAGTTTCAAGACAGCTAGACAAAGGGCTGGTACAAGATTGCCCGGAGTGCCTCGGCCCTCAGCTGCCTACAAAAGGCAGGAAAAAGGAGTACAGACTCTGCAGTTAAGCTTAAAAAACAAACCTGTGAAACAGAGAGAGGTCCCCTGTTCCCCCTCCTCCAGCAGGAGCGGGAGGGGCTGAAAACATTTGTTCCGAGAGAGGGTGGGGGGAGAAAACCCTAAGTGCTTTTGCTTCGGTCTTTTTTTTTTTTTTTTTTTTTTGCCAAATCATGCAGAAGATGCTGGCAGCTGCGAAGATTCAATTATGCACAATGCGAAAAATCATTTACAAAAATAATGGCACTCGAAAAAAAATGGCCTCTCCAGAAATGGCGTGGAACAATAAATCCGTTAATTAGCTAATTAATATTCAATTGGGGTCAGTGGGCTTAATAGAACCTTTCTTGGAGACCCAAGAAATTCTAAACTGCCGTGAGGCGCCTGCCCACTGCCATTATCTCAGGCTAGCAGGCCCTTATCGGACTGCCAGCTGTCCCCAAACAATGCGGGCCCTTATCAGCTGGGGCAGCAGCCCTGGCCGCTCACTCCGACTGCCTCCACCCAGAGGATGAGCATGCAGCCTCTTGGTAATTGATATATGGCTCAGCTTTGTCTGAGGCTGTTTGCTCTGCTGGTATTTAAGGCAGCGCGGGACCCCCTGATTGATTGCCATTGGCCAAGTTTCTGCTGTCAATGACAACCTGTCAATGGGGGACCAGCCAATGACAGTGGCTAACATTCTTCATGTCCCAACCATCTGGGCCAGGCCAGAGGCCTGACATGCAGCTCCGTGGCCCGCTGGGTTTGGCCTGACTTTTGCTGTCCTCCTAAAGACTTGGGTGGGTAGATGTTTGGGTAGAAGGCCACCACCTTGCCTTGCTTTGTCATCCGTTCAGACTTTCAGGAAATGGAGAGGTTGAACCAGACCCTTACGACTCCAACTATGGCCCATGAACTTGCAGCCACCGTTGTCTGAGAGCTCCAGAGAGACTTCAGACCTCTGGAATTGAAGCCGACGGAGTAAAGGCCTGAGCATCTATATTTATCTAGCTCTCTGGTAAATTCTCAAGCTGGAGTTTGAGAAGTAGTTGGAAAGATCACAGTTCAAATCCCTGGCTGTGTCTCAGGAACATTTCGGTGTGAGGGGGTTAGATGCACTCCTTCCTGCTGTTTTTAGGGTCTCTCCCTCAGTCCTGAGAGAAGTAGGTTGGCTAGCAAAGAGGCACCAGTCACTGTCATGGCCATGCCTGTGGGGAGCCTGTTCAGTATGAAAGAAGGCTGCACTTGACCAAGGGGGGTAACAAGCTATGGGCATACAGGACTCCAGGAATCCATTGAGAGTTAGAACCCAATTCCATAGAACCTGTTTCCTATGGGAAGGGGTTCCAAGGCTAGTCCCTAGATGCTTTGAGACTCATAGCAGGCTGACTCTCAATACATCTCATGGATGGACCATGCAATCAGAAAGAGAGAAGGAAGTAGAGGAAGTCTGTGAAGTGTTGCTCTGATTGGTTGATAAATAAAGCTGTTTGGCAAATGGTGAGGCAGGAAAGAGAGGAAGGAAAAAGGAGAGCAGAGGAGATGCTGCTAGCCGCCGCCATGAGAAGCAAGTACCAGTAAAGTACCAGTAAGTCACAAGCCATGTAGCAAAGTATAGATTTGTGGAAATGGGTTGATTTAAGATGTAAGAGCTAGCTAGAGAGAAGCCTGAGCCATTAGGCCATATAGTTTGAAAATAATGTAAGTCCCTGAGTGATTATTTTTAAAGCAGCTGTAGGACTCAGGGTCACAGGAGCTGGGTGGAACCAGATTGGAAATTTTCCTGTGTCCTGTCTGGTCCGAAGCCACTCAGACCCCAATAAACACACAGAGACTTATATTAATTATGAACTGTATGGTCATTAGCTCAGGCTTATTACTGACTAGCTCTTATACTTCAATTAACCCATAATTCTTATTTATGTTTAGCCACATGGCTTGGTACCTTTTCTCAGTTCTGCCTTGTCATCTTGCTTCCTCTGTGTCTGTCTGGTGACTCCTGACTCAGCCTTTCTCTTCCCAGAATTCTCCTTGTCTGTTTATCCCGCCTATACTTCCTGCCTGGCTACTGGCCAATCAGCATTTTATTTATCAACCAATCAGAGCAACATATATTCACAGCATACAGAATGACATCCCACAGCAGTGAAGAAGAGGGACCTTACATCTTACAAGGATTCAAAGCACAGGATCAATGTATCAGTTTCTTTTCTTGTTGCTGTGAACAAATACTCAACAAGAAGCAACTTAGGAAGGAAGGGTGTATTCTGACTCACAGATTGCTGGTATAATCCACCATTATAGGGCAGGCATGGCTGCAGGAGTGTGAAACATTTGGTCACATTGGGTCTACAATCAGAAGATAGAGATGGAAGCAGGTGTGCAGCTTGCTTTCTCCATTTTATTCAACCATGGACCCCAGTCCATGGGACAGTGCACCTATACTTAGGATGCATCTCTTCACCTCTGTTAACCCAATTATAGCTCTTATAGACATTTCCAGAGGTTGGTCTCCTAGGCTGATTTTCCATCTTGTCAAGTTGACAATCAAAACTGACCATCATGGTTAGGCTTCAGCTGCTTTACTTTCTAAGCAGGCAAAGTGTCTTTAGTGGTCCACATTCCCATTGCACCCCATCTCTCCCTTCATCCCGCTTGCCCATTCTCCATCAGTGTACCTTCCCAGGCCTGCTCTGAGAGGCCACATCTGTGCTCCCCTCTTCCTGGCCTCCTGCCTAAAATCTACATGTCTGGAGCTGCATGTACTAGGAGACGACCAGCTTGCTCCTGTCTCCACATATCAATAAGGAGGCTTAATCACTGCAGCTGAAGGACTGTAGGGGTTCTGGGCTTGAAAGTAGCCTAAGATGAGGCAGGTAGGGAAAGCCCACCCTGACAGTGCCCCACCTTCTTTCAGATGCTATGTGGGAGCCACTCAAGCAACAGGGACAAGAAGGTAATGAAGTAAAGAGCAAACACCAGGCAAAACTAGCCCAGCTCACCCTCAATGTTCCTAGTCTAACTCTGTCCAGGAAGGATGCTGCAGACCTCAGTGAAAGGAAAAGAGAATTGTAATCCTCCTAGAGCTATGGCCAAGTGCAAGGGAGCCTGGGTATCAATAGGTACAGGACCCAGCCATAGGAGCTATGGGAAGTTAGTGGGGCAAAGCCAGCCCAAGCAAAGCACAATTCTGTTTAGGAAAATGATACCTTGAGCCTGTGACCTGGCAGGGCCTTGAATTTCAAAACAATTAAGGCTGGAGTCCAGCAGCTATGACACTAGGTAAAACCGGAATGTGAGGGTTGGGCTACTGGGTTCTTTTCTGTCTCCAGGTACATCCAGTATGTACCTGGCAATCTGACTAGCCCCTTGTCCAATATGAAGCTGCGGCACAGGTTCAGTGGGCTCTTCTGGGAACAGATGTCACCACTTCCTGCTGTGTGGGAGTTCTAAAAGGAATCTCTAGAGCTTCCCAGGGCCTTAGGGCAGGCTCAACCACTTGCTCAGATGGGTGTGGGCTGTTAGAATCACCAGCAAAGAGCTTGGGGAAAGAATAACTGATGTTCTGGGGCCACTAAATGATCCTAAGACTGTGCCAACCCTGGGGCTCTGGGGTGATCCACAGGCTGATAAAGAATATCAGAAGCACGTATCTGTTAGTCATTGCTCTTCTAGATCCGATGACTGCTATTTGACTATGATAAATTCTAGTGAGAAGCATAGTCTTCTGCTAAGTAAGTATGGGTTATCCAAGCCTGAATCCCAGCCATTGAACACTTAGCTCTCAAGCTGCTCAGGCTACCCAAATAGTCCCTTCTTTCTCTCCCATCTGATCATACCTGGGGCTAGCTCTCCCTCCTTGAGCAAGTCTCCTCCTTTGAACAGTTTGGGTTTAGTTCATCTCACTGGGTGTTGGAACTGGACATCAACATTGTTCCCATATGGACTTGAGTTGTGATCATATTCTCTTTCCAGAGAGAATGGATGTGGTACTGTCCTGGACAAGCTGGTGCAGGGTTAAGACATCCCAAGGCTCTTTTGCCCAGGTCCAGTCTGTCTTGGTTATGTTTTAGGAGGCTCATAGGTAAAGTGTAGGTGGCAGAGATAGTGACAGAACTCCATAGCAAAGAGACATTGTGACTCAACAGTCAAATCTGAGAGAGGCAAAGGGTATCCTCAAGAGCTGGCTGGCTTGAGCAAGAGAAGAAGAGTGATAGTCATTGAACTGGGGAGGCCACTATTCTGATGAACACGGGCTTCCTAAGCCAATGGTGGCTGTTATCAGTATGAAAATGGTGGTAGACAGGAGGCCTGTAGGGTTTCAAAATTCCTACCCTGACCTTGAGTCTGGTTTCCCATATGCCCCAAGAGGCTTCTTCTTTGAGCAGGATGAGGGCTGAGATTGCTCTTTTGGGGTCCCTTGGACCATTCCACTTTATTTTTATGAGTGAGGAGTAACAAGGCTCAGAGTATAACAGCTTCTCATGTGTGTGTTGTGTGTGTGTATGCACACACACGCATGTGAGAAGGCCAGAGAACAACTTCGGGTGACATCCTCAGGCACAATACACCTTTTTGTTTGTTTCAGACAGGGTCTTTCGTTGGCTTTGAACTTACAAAATAGGCTAAGTTGGCTGGCTGGTCAGCAAGCCCCAGAAGTCCGCCAGTCTCCTCCGTCCCCAAACGGGGTTTGCAGTGTGTTATTTCACACATGTCTGCTTTGTTGTTTGTTTGTTTTTAACTGTAGGTTCTGAGGATTGAATTCAGATCCTCATGTTTGCAAGGCAAGCACTTTTCTGACTGAACAGCATCCAAAGCCTGCTTTCCAAGTATACACTGTCCACATTGGGTCAGAGACAGGACAAATCCAGGGACTGCCCTCTCTCTTCTACAGTTAGATCTCTCCCTGACATCCACCGCCACAGATACACCCCCTTATTGGACGGACTCCATTGTGGGAGCATCCAAGCCCTACCACCAGGGGAAAGAAAGTTTCTGTTAACCTGAAAACAAGGCTTAGGAGCAGGAGGCCCTGAGTGTGCCTGCGGAGTTTGGAGCTCCTTCAACTTCAGGACTAATTGCAGAGAGGCGGTGGGCGGGCTCTTGGCAAGCGATTAGCTGTCCCACTGCATGAATAATTTGCATAGAAAATGCTTTATTTTGGCAATCTATTAAAGGGCCCACAGTGCTGTGGCTTATCTCAGTCTCACAGCAAGGCAAAGGCTTGGCTATCTTGTTAAGTTCTGTTGATGCATAACAATTTGAAATGGGCACAAGCTAGTATGACATTTAAAGATGCCTTCACTTAATTATATTACACAAACATGGGGTTGTTTATCCTTGGGAATAAAGTCTTTTTGAAGTCAAAGTTGGCATGTGCATAAAGGAGGGCATTTTAACTGATTTTTCAAGAGGGGGCCTTCTCACTTCAAACTTTGGGGAGGGCGGCGTTGGATTTCCTTAGGGCCTTGTAAGGCAGAGGGTTCTATGGCTGAGATGCAGGCTTTGAGATTGGTTCTTTAGTTTTTCTTCTTTCGGGGTGGCCTACAGTTTGGCACAGAGTACAGTACTGTGGAGAGAAAAGCTTATTAGAGCAAGGAACAGAGACTGGCTGTGTGACCTTGGGCGAGTGCCTTCCCTTCTCTGAGCCTCCATCGCATCCTGTGCAACATGTGAGGTGGCTTTGGCTGTTTGAGGGCAGTGACTGGCAAACTATAGCTTATTTTTGCTTTCTCTTTGCTACTCTGTATATTGAGAGAGTACAGAAGCAGCCTTGGCTGACCATAGCGCCCAAGCACTGCATAAACTGGGCATGGTGGTACATGTCTGTCATTCTAGTACTTGGGCAGGAGGATCAGGGGTTCAAGGTTAGTCTCAGCTACACAGTGAGTTCAAAGCCAGCCTGGGAGACATGAGCCACTGTCTTAAGAACAAAACCAAACCACAATGCAGCTTTTTGTTGGGAATCATAGGGAATTCAGGGGGCCCATTGTGCTTTCTAAGGACTGGGCACACGCGGGAGGGGGAAGATGGGAAGGGCACACAGCTGTAGCAGGCATTGGCATGCTTTTGCTCTGCCAAGTCAGAAGGCCCAGGAGACTACAGAAAACACAACCTCGCCTCACTCCCTTTAACACTAGGAATTAAGTCCTGATTGGAGAATGCACAGGAGAGCTCTAGGGGAGCTTAGAGAGCCGTGAAGCTCTGTGAAGCCTGCCTGTATCTCCTTGTGCTCGAGGCAAAGCCATCCGAGAGTTGGCCAGGTCTTCACCTCTGAGCCCTGGAGCAGAGGCCAGGTCTGCCATGGAGGAGCTCTGGGCCTGGGGTCCACTGGGCTGGCTTCCAGAAGAGCAGGGCTTTGGTGTTTCCAGGGACAGGGCTGTCTATGGGTTCTTAACCGAACACACAACAAGAAGGGCTTTACCTGGGCCCTGGTTTCCTGACTCCTGTTCTGAATTCCAGCTCTAGAAAATGGGTTCTCATCCTGCTTTCCATTTCCTTCCTGTCCCTCAAGGACTGAGGACTATACACTCTTCAGCTTAGAGACATAGGTTTATGCTTCTGCCTTTCTGTCACTTGTGTGGAGGTGCATGGATGTGCACATGAGTATGTGTGTGTCTATGTGTATGTGTGAATGTGTATGTTTACATACAGATGTGTCGTGTATACACATTTGTTCATGTATGTGCATGTATAGGTTCACATGTGTATGTGGGGGTATGAATAGGTGTGCATATGTGTGTTTGAGTATGTCTCTGTGCACATGTGTGTATGCATGTGTGCAAGTGTTTGTTTGCATGAATTAGTGTGTCCAAGTGTTTGTGTGTGTGTTCATGTATGCATATGCTCACACATGTAAGTGCATGCATGCATGTGTGCTTATATGTGTATTAGCATGTGTGTTCATGACTCAACTTATGTGTATTTGAAGCTAAGTGTGCATATGTGTTTGTGTGATCATGTGTGTTTTTGTTTTGGTGCATGTTTTCACTTGTGTGTATTGTATGTTTGCGAATGAATCTGTAAGTATGTGTTTTCATGTGTATATGCATGTGTTTGCACATTTGTATGCATTAATGTGTGTATATGTATGTTTGTAGTGCATGTAGGTGTGTGCTTGTCTACATATATGTGTGCATGTATGTGTTTTAAGTAGTGTAAGCATGTGTTTACATATATATAGGTGTGTATCTACATATATTTGCCAGTATATACCCATTTTTATGAATGTGTGCATGTGTGCTGTGCTTGTGTATATGTATGTATGTATATGCATGCATATTTGCCTGAATGTGTTCAGGTGTATACTTGTGTGTACACACATGTGCATGTGTGCATACCTGTGCATGTTTCTATGTGTATCTATGTATATGTGCATTTTGTGTTTCCATGTGTATGCATGTACATTTGTGTGTGCATTCATGTGTGTATGTACATGCACATGTATGCTCTTTGTATTTGTTCATGTATGTGTATGTTTGTGTATTCATGCTTGTATGTGCAATGATATGTTTGTGTATGTTAGTGTTTGTGTGCTCATGTACATGTATGTGTGTGCTTCTTTTGTTTTTTGGTTTTTAGAGACAGGGTTTCTCTGTGTAGCTTTGTGCCTTTCCTGGAACTTACTCTGTAGCCCAGGCTGGCCTCAGACTCACAGAGATCCACCTCCCTCTGCCTCCTGAGTGCTGGGATTAAAGCGTGTGCCACCACCGCCCAGCCTGTGTGTGCTTCTTAATGTGTGTCTGGAATTCAGATCTGTTTCTTGCACTCACATCTGTCCCCTCAGCCACCTAGAAACCACAATGTCTTCTCTTCACCTTTATGTTGCCCAACCAGTGCTCAGAGTAGAGACGTTGTCCGTGGCCCACAGTGGAAGGAGGAAAAGGCATGAGAAATACTCCAGAAGGGCACCTGTGATGGTCAGTCTTCATTGTCAACTTGACTGGACTTAGAATCACCTAGGGACATCGCTCTAATCTTGAATATGGAGGTGTTTCCAGAGAGTTCAAAGTGAGGAGGGGGACTTCACTCACCCTGCGTGCAGTGGCACCATCCCACGGGCAGGGGTCCTGAGTTAATAAAAAGGGGAAAAAGGAGAGAGTGAACTGAACACAATGTGGCCAGCCTCCTCAATTTCTGCTGCCCGGCCTTCCCTTTCACCATGCAGTGTGTCCCTTCAAACCGTGAGCCAAGCAAACTCTTCCTTCCTTAAGTTGTTTTTATTTTCTTGTCATATCATGAGAACATTACTAACATAATAGTCTATGGTATAAATCAAGGTGGACAGTAGTTATCAATCTTTGGCTAAATGTAACTAAGAAATTTAAATCTATAAAATGATGCATAATAATTATAGCCACCCTGTTGAATCAAGTCCAATAACAAGAAGGCGATGTAGTTAGCGTAAGTGCTGCTTTCCATCTTGGCTCAAGCAGTGTTTCAAAAGGGGATCTTGGTGAGCAAAGGCTGATGTTGGGCATCTGCCTTCCTGGGGTGGCTAAGCCCCTACACATGGCAATTATAACAGTGGTCCACTTTGAGAGGAGCATAGAGGAAGCAGTTAGTCAATTTGGAGACTTCAGATCCCAGGATCTCTTTGAAGCTTGAGGGGTAGATGGGTGTGTGTAGCAGGAATCTTAACAGGTCTTATTAATAAGATCAAACCCAGGGCCAGTTATTGGGGTGAATGCTAGAAGATCAGAAAAGCAGAACAAGCCACAGCCAACCTCACTTGGCCAACTTCTCAGCTGATCTTGTTTCCTCAGACTGGAAGCCTCTGTGTCCTCATATCTGAATGGCTCTCAGCTGAACTGTGCTGCTCAAAACCTAAAAGTTTAACCAGCCAAATGCTTCTAGTTTCTGGTCCTCACGCCTTATATACCTTTCTGCTTTCTACCATCACTCCATGGGATTAAAGGCTTGCTTTCTGGGATTAAAGGCGTGAGTCACCACGCTTGGCTGAATCCTTGAACACATGGATTTCTGCCTCTGGAATGCTAGGATTAAAGGTGTGAGTGCCCCATTTTCTAGGCTTTGTATCTAATGGCTGTTCTGTCTCTGACCCCAGATAAG